AGGGGGGGGGGGGGAAAGTCCCCCTTGTGTTTTTAACAGTTTGTATACTGTTACAAGCCTTTGTTTTTTCCATCTGAATCTGATATTGTCTGGAGTGTTATACAACAGATTGTCTGGCCTGAATGTGTTGTTATTTATTTTGCTGATAAGAAACACATCTAAAAGCATTTTCACTGTTTCAGGCACTTGGCTTCTTGCGGTATTCTGATGACCAGAATTTCTCCTTTGCAAGTACCTGTAATGAGCCATACCTTTGCAAGAACTTTCTTCAACATTGCTGCTCCACTAGTAAATAAAAGAAAAGAATATTCTGAAAGAAGAATTATAGGGTTTGTATATAAAGTTTCTTTCCATGCTTCTGTGTTTATTGATTTTTGTTTGCTGTGAATAATCTGAAACGCTAGAAGTTCAAAGACTGAGCATCCCTGGACACATGTGCCCCTGTGACTCTGCCGAACTGGAGACTTAGGAAGGAGTTTTGACTTTCAAAATTTGTGGAGATCAGGCTTTTCGAGTCTGAAATTGAGTATGAAGAATGTAGGAACCCAAAACCTTTGCCTCATAGAAAGAAACAGTAGAAATAACCTTTCTATTCCATGACAAAACAAAAACAACCTTGAAAGAGAAGAAAACACTGTTAATTTCATGTGGTGAAATGGGAATAAACCAACAGGTGTGAAAACTCTCAGTTTGTTCCCTTCTGTCCCAAATACAGGCTAATGTTTGCACTTACACTGTGTTGTACTTCTCACGATTTTCTTCTTTCTTTGAAAGAGGGAAAATAGTTGTGGGATGAAGAAACTTAGGCACACAGAAAAAGATTTTGAAATCCTGTTTGCCTTAAAGCTAGGGGGAAAGTTCCAGTTTATTTAATGAGACTGGGATCTGCCCCCAGTCTCTGGCCCACAATAGAATGAACTATTTGATTATTAGCATGATTTTTTTTTTACTATGCTTAACATTCGTTTATGTGTTAGTTCTTGAATGGCAACAGATTTTGCATAGTCGCTGAGAAAGAGCCTTTGTCCAATAGTACTCACTGTTGAGTACTGTTGAACATATGCTTCATTTTAAACACAGATGGAATTAAGCATGTGCTTTGATTCCTTTGAGTCAGAACTAAACATTAAAACCCAGAGCTATGTAATACTTTGACACGTTACAGTAGAATCAACTAAGACATTGCCGTCATATCCTTTCATATGATTTCAATATCCTGCTTGAGCAGGGGGGTTGGACAAGATGACCTCCAGAGGTCACTTCAAATGACCTCAGCCATTCTGTGGTGCTGTGAGGTTTTTCCATTGCATGGACTTTTTAATTAAGCTTTTTTTATTTGGGCTAAAATAAGGAAAGTAGTGTTCCTTTATTTAAACCTTATGAAATAAAGTACTTCAGTTTTGATACACCTTTTCTTGGTAGCCATGAGGTGTGGATTCTTTATGTGGAACGTCTAAGATCTACCTAAATGAAGACACAGCTGTGGCTGGAAAAACTATTTTTCCATTTGAAATGTATGCATATTTACCTGATATTGCAGAAAGTAGCAGACATGAAGTTCACTGTCCACTAACTTTATTGCTGGATGTTGTGTAGTGTTTTGCATTTTTATGCAAAGACTTTTACTAGTTTATTACTTTTTTTTTTCTCTTTTTAATTTCAAAAAAACAGCAGTAGTGTTTTCAGGTGACTGTGTGTTCACCTTCCAAACTGCTTATGCCATATACACCACCTTTGAAACTTTTTAATACTGAATTTGAAGTTAAAATACCCTGTAACTAACGGTCCTATTTCTGTTTCCAGGTATTCTATGCAGGAAATGTATGAAGTTGTTGCTGTTGTGGAGAATTACAAACTATTTGTTCCTTGGTGTAAAAAGTCAGATATTTTATCGAAGCGCTCTGGATACTGCAAAGCACAGCTAGAAATAGGATTCCCTCCTGTAGTAGAGAGGTATACATCGGTTGTTACCCTAGTGAGACCACACTTAGTGAAGGTAACTTTTTTTTTTCTTAGCTGTAACTTTCTGTGACTTTTATATGTTGAAATTCAAATAACTCACTGCTGCTTCAAAACAAAATTGATGCTGGAAGTGCTTTGTGTGGCTCAAAACTTGGGTTGCTTTTGTTTAAAGACTTTTAGGTTAACTGGAGAGAATTCGAATGTGCTTTCAAAACACGAGCTGCCAAGTGGGGCGGGTGGGGAACTGCCTTTTAATTTCTGTTTGCTTGAGAAACTAGCAGCCACTAATGAAGGTCTACAATTTCTGTTTGTTTTATTATAATTTTGTCCAAGCCTCTCTAAATGCAAAATTAATACTGACTTAAAAGTTATCTTTGACAACTGTAGCTTCTGATGCCTAAGCAAAATTGATACCCGTCATTACTTTTCTTCTGATAGTTTTAACTAGCTAATATGAGAAGTCTCAAACTTAAGCGTAGAGCTTGCTATTCAGTGTATTGATGAGAAGACAGAAGAGTGGGTTTAAAGTCAATTTTTTAGAATTAATTTGTTCAGAAGAGAAGCAGTTGTATTTCTCCTCCTTTCAGCTTTTCAAGAGCAACAATTAAAAGAAAAATGTCAAAGGAGAAATTTTAAATGACGTCTGGATCTTCTAACTAGTTTGCTTTATATGTTCAAATCTGTTTTGGTTTGGAACAGCTCAGAATAGACTCCTTACAGCAAAACTGCCTCTCCCTTCACGTGGCAGATCTTGACTATTTTTTTGAATAACTAGTGGAATTAAAGCAGTTGATTGCTCTTCAGGATAACTGTTTAGATATCCTATTTCACTATTCTTTTCTAGGCTTCCTCCTAAGAGACACTGTTCAAAACAGAAACTGGGCTTCTTAAATACAGGTGAAATTGGAATTGGAAAGGGAATATGCAGGTTCTGGAAAGAAAAAAAAAAACTTTCTCCCTTTACTAAGAAAGTTGAACAGCTACAATGGAAAATCTGTGTTTTACATGCTGACTGCTTTCCCATTCTACTCTTCCCTGACAAGACTGCCTTTTTCCTTTCACATAGCTGTCAGATTGGCTTACCAAGTTTTTGTACCTCTAATTCACTCGAAATAGGATTTCTTGTCTCAGAAAAGATCACGAAAGTGATGAGGAGAACAGTTTCTTTAGATTTCCTCCTCCTCTACTTATCAGCATTTTCTCTGCTGGGATTATTTTTCCTAGAAGTTTATGTTATGTTCATGTAACTGTAGGAACATTTCTAGAGAAGCAACTGTGTGTTTGGACTACTTCACTGTCCTCAGAAATAACTCTGGGCATGCTGCTCTAGCATAGTGGGCTACTGATGGTGGAAAAATGAGCACAGCTTTGTTGCTTACGGCAGCGGTGCTTGAGCAATGGAAAAATCAGACTGGTAGCAGCAGCTCTTGCCGCAGAGGAAAGAACGGAGTGAATTTGCTACTTATAAGGTTGGGAGCAAGGCGGACACACTGGCAATTTTCCCATTCTTCCTGCCCTTTTGGCAGCAGGAGGAAAAGTAAGCCCAGCTCTTCGTGTCTAACCTTCCCTCTACTCCTCCCCTTTCTGTTGTAGAAGTAGCAAGACACCGCATCTCATTCCTGGGTAGAAAAATATAGGTATTTCTGTGCTGCCGACTATAGACTTTGAGATGGTTTACCTTATCAATGAGCTTCTCACAGAGCTGCTTCTGGTAACAGTAAGACCTGTAAAAAAAAATTTTAAAAAAGGAGTTAAAAAACAGTTACAGAAATTCTCTTTAGAAATTCCAAGACAACCGAGATTATGTATTTTGCAGTATGTGTCTTTCAATCTTTTTCTATTTTAAGTACAGCCACAGAAGATTTGCTATGTGTGCTAAAAGCAAAAAGAGTGAAAATGAGGACCTTAGTGTCATGAAAACTATAAAGCCAACTATTGCAAATACTTTATTGTTTTAAAGTAGGATTGTATGCAAGCATTTGCACTTCTGAAATGTTAGTTAAACATGGCTTGCTGGTAACTAAAAGCCAAGTTATAAGCTGATTATGAGCTTGAGTGTATGGTCTTGCTGACTTCACGGTAGCTGTTGATGACAACAGATCTTGTGACAGATGATGTTTGGAGTTTGTCTTCAGTCAGGTTTGTTTTGATGCTAAGCATTCCTGTAGCCCAAGACTACCAGTCTATATACCAGTATGTAAAACATTCTATACATGTAATGAAAAAAAACCAAAAACCCCACACCAGGTAAATATCCATATTCTTTGCTTAAAACAGTGTTGTTCAAAATCCCGGTGTATAGCATTAGCATTATCCTGGTGTTCTATGCATCGTGCTAGAGATCTGTTTTATCACTCTCAATACAGAAATTTTTCCTCTCCCTTAAAAGGGATTCAATTACTTTGCAAATGACACTGTGCAAATAGCATCTTGTGCTGGCTGCACTATAAGAATAGTTTTAACTATGCCGTGACTGTCACTGTCGAACAAAATGCAAATCCAAACTTCAGTAATACCAATTTGTCACATCTGTAAAGTCTAATTGTAGCTTGACTTTTTCAACTTCCTTTTAGGCATCCTGCACAGATGGAAAACTATTTAATCACTTGGAAACAGTGTGGCGTTTCAGCCCAGGAATCCCTGGCTATCCAAGGACATGTACATTGGATTTTTCAGTAAGTATTGTAATTAAGACTGACACATGCTGGGAACCGGGCGTAGAAACAGTATCTTCAACTGTGGTTTGGGTTTGTTTGTTGTGTTGTTTTTGTTTGGTTGGTTTTCTTACACTGGCTGGTACTGATTTTTTGTTTAAACATATGTGCACAGAAAACAAGTTAGTCACTACTATAAAAAAAATTTTGCAAACTTTACCACACGGAAACCACTACAGTGTTCTTTAGAGTCATCAGTCTTCTGCAAGGTGTCTGCCTGTCACAAAACAGCCTAGGGACTGCTATCTCTCACTGTACAATTCTAAACATGCTGATGTTTTTAGACAGTCAAATACAGAGGGAGAAATACTAAACATACTTTGCTAATTCCTTTAATGACTCTACAACATAAGTGGTCTTGGTACCAGAAAGCAGGCATTCTCCCATCTGTCCTCTTTGGCCTGCAGTTTGGTCAATTTAAATTTCCTGGCTTCCAGTTTTACTCTTTCATGCATTTCAAATCTTACTCCTTCCTTCTGTAATACAGGTATAATAGACTTTTGCTGTTTCTGCTCTATGATGGGATTATTGCTGCAGCTCAAGACTATTGCCCTTTAAATCCCCTACCTGATTTAGCTTGTGACTCCTAGACAAGTTGTTTTCCACTCAAGTTGTTGCTTTTCCATTTTGTCTATTTAGTCTGTCATCACTTTTTTTTCCCCTTACATTTTATAGTGTTAAGAGTAGGTGTTGCATTGAGCACGTAACTAAGCTGGGGTTCAGAAGAGGCTACAAAAGTACACAGAAATGGGTTGATCCTACTGCCATCTACTGGGATACTCCGTTTTAAAAATTATCTCCTGTAAACAGGAAAAAGAGCTTTTGGAGAATTTGTAAACTAGCACATTAATCTCCTTGGGTCAGTAAGTTCCAGCTTATGCTGTATTGCACTTCATGCAGTTCAACAGTGAAAATGAATCTATAGGTGCTCAAAAAAATAAATTTCTCTTGGGATTTGCCAATGAAGTTTGCATGTTATTTGCACGTGGTATTTGAATTTCTCCAGTGCCAGTTCCTGCTACTGCCCAGTATGTAAGCCAGCTTCTAACCCAAGCCATAAATCAGCTGAGAAAACTTGAATTGAGCAAATGTTTAAACCCTATAATCTAAATACAGAGTTTGTGAGGAAAACTCTCCCCCCTCCCCCGCCCCACACCAAAGCCACCTTTTGACATTTTGGGTCAAGAACTTCAGTTAAAGGGCATCAAAACTGGACTTAAAATGGATGTTCTCACCTTCTTGGGGAAACACTACGGATACTTTGTACCGCTTACCCCATTTCGAGGTAGTGGAGGCAAATGCAGGCAGCCAAGCAGGGGGTTGCCCCACAAAGGCAAGTCCTTAACTGACCTGCTGGGTTACTTGCCTCTGGGCCCGTGCAGATAGGGGCGATAAGTGTTTCACAACAACCTTCTTGAAACATACTGTGCAATTACAAATACTTACGAGGGAAAACTTTGATTTTTGAGAATGCTCATTTGCTTTAGAAAATGTAATTTGAGTTTTATGTTAGGCTGGTTCCTACAAGCTACTGCATCACTGTTTTGCCAGCCTGGTGCCAGGGTCCATATATACATACAGCAGGGAACTTTTCTAGTTTGGTTTCAGTTCTTAAATGCTTTGCTATGTAGATTGAAGCACACCACCATTTTTACCATCTGCAAATGCGTACCATCCCTCAAGTTTTACACAGTTACCGAATGTGATGCAGAACTCCACCTGCTCTAGATGACAGCTCTCAGACTTTCAAAAGGCACATTAATTTTACTGGTGCTTGAGGTCAAGAAAATGTAAATGAAGCTACACCAGGCTTACAGTCTGAGTTTAATTACTTCCGTGCTACTGCTTCGCAGTTAATATGCATTACGCATAAGCAACTTGAGAGAAGCTGTATTTGCTCCCTTTGGCAAATCTGCCAATTTCTGCCAATTAACGACAAAAATACTTAAATCTCAATCCAAAAGATGTGCTATAGCTGGAGTGATAAAATTGCAGAAGAGCAACCTCTTTCCTTTCCTGAGATTTCTGTAATCATTTTGGGAAGCTGTGTATTCCAAACCAATGTGATTCCATAGCCTTCAGGGCAAGTTATTTAACTAGACCAAAGGCCAGCACAGCACAAAAGTGTAACTGAGCGTTTCTTTTGAGGGAGGAGAAAGCGGATGCCCCTGCACCCATGCCGTAACTGTTAACTGCTACAGTAGCTTCAGTTTAACAGTAAGATTCAGCAGCTAGAAGAGAAGGTAGAAGTTAAGTTCGATCGCTGCAGTAGGAGGCCCGAGGGTGCGCGGCAGAGGACTTCACCAGCATGTCCATCCCCTGGCAGGACAGCGAAGCTCGAGAGCAGGAGGTGTTCGGGTAGGAGGTACGGGGCACACAAGCAAATTTGTAGCTTTAGGCAGTAAATTGCTCTTGCTTTAACATCCCATAACCACAGCTACTGGTTTAAAATGTTGGTATTTAATAGGTAACTCCTCCCAGTTGCTTTTAAATGCCTCTTGGGTTTGCTCCAGCTTACCTGCAAGTCTGCTGTCGTGCCACGCGGGATTTTCTTCAGACAACTTTTGTCCCCCAGTGAATTCTGCATGCAAAGCAACCAAGTTATGGTTTGTCAGTAGATTTTCGTTATCCCAAATATTTTACTTCCGTTTTGTGATGCATCCCTTAAGGAAAATGCAGTTAGTTGAGATAAATGGAAATGATTACTTCTGAGAACTGAGCAGAATGATTCTTCTTATTGAAAAGCCCAGGGAGACTCTCCTCTGACCGAGAAATAGGACTTTTCCTCACGGGCACTCACCCATAGCTCTGTTTTAAAGGCTCTTTCTCACACAGACTACTTTTGCAGACTAACTGGAAATTCTTTAGTGAAGTCGTCTATTTGCAACAGCCTTCTACCACAACAGTAGACAGAGGAAAAACAATTCTTCTCTGTTTTCTTAAACAGGTTTCTTTTGAATTTCGTTCACTTCTACACTCAAAACTGGCCACGCTGTTTTTTGATGAAGTGGTAAAGCAGATGGTAGCTGCCTTTGAAAGAAGAGCATCCAAACTTCATGGCCCAGAAACAAGCATACCTCGGGAGCTGATGCTTCATGAAGTTCATCACACATAAAAGGGAAAACTCTAACAACGTTATAAACTTGTGTGTGCACTTCTTTTGTACAAGAGGTGCTGTGCTCCTCCTTTGGGGCATCGATTTCCTACCTGAGCTTCGTGTGTAATTTCACACCGTACAAAACACACCCCTTCAGCCAGACGCATATAGGATGTTCAGCCTGCAGTCGAGTACAACTTAAAGTGTTACCGGTACCGATGGGCAGCTGCTGTAACGCAGGTTGTCTCAGGCTGCCATTTATTAACTTGCCAAAGGGTTTGTGTAGTCACAGTGTAAGTTCTGCCTTATCCAAGCTTATGTTTTGTGGTTTTCGTCCCCCCCAGCATTGTAACATATTAACTCAAGTTGAAGTTAGTAGTAGTGTGAATGTAACTTAACAGCGTCAACCCGGCCAGCTCTGGCCGAGGGAAGGGACACGGACACTCTAGCTTCGGGGAATATGGAGCAGTTTGTCACGTACCCAGTAGCTGGTACTTTTAATCCAAATGAATGCCCAGGGCAAGTCAGGAGTCTCCAGCTGCTGTGGAGTTCTGACCAGCAACTGCAACAGAAAAAACAACTCTCGAGTTTTTCAGAAGTGAACCGTAGGGGGCATGCGTAGGGTAAGGAGTGCTGTCGTTTGAGCGCAGCGGGCTCAGCTGTCGCCCGTGGTTCTTAGCCTTCCAGGCTCCAGCCAGCAGGGAATGATGGGGAGGCGTGGCAGGCTGATCTCCCCCCCCTGCCACTCTTCCACTGTCACACGCTGCGCTTCAGTCGCGGGAGGCACAGCTCAGCTCAAGCAAACGGTGCCCAGTTCCAACACAGCTTTAAGCCAAGTAAATAAGTGTTGCCCGTCTGAGAGGGAGGGCAGGGACGCACAAGGTTCTGTACCACAGTGCTGCCCTCCCTGAAGGAGGGAACAAGGTGTCCTCCACTTAGTGCAGGCAAGCACGCCCAAGGCCAGTTGTCATCAAAAACCACGCAACAGAGCACTAAACCTTTGTTCTCAGGGCTTTCTTCAGTACCATACTACTATTTAATTATCAGCCCATTATGATGGTACCAGCCCTCCTGATTAAGTCAATTTTCAGTAGTTCTAGTCCTTACATTAATATTCTTTCCTGTCTGTGAAGGAATGTAAGTAGCAGGTTTGAACAGATTTTAAATCCTACCAACACGCTGCCTTACCTTACCGAATTCACTTACTGAGATGAGGTGGAGCTTCAGGCCGACTGTTGCAGCTGGTCCTTTCTCCACGGTGTCCATAACCCACGTGGTTACTGCAGAACAGTGACAGAGCAGCACAGGAAGGTACGTGCCAGGGCAAAGGCAGCCCTGCAGCAGTTTCAGGCCATGCCGAGCCGGCAGAGCCTCACGCACCATCTGCGAAGGGCAGTTGTCACTGAAGGTGGGAAGCTGGGGAAGGTGGCAGCTGGATTAAGAGGGCAGAGCTGCTTTAAAGCACAGAGAAGTTGTAAAGCAGTTTTGTTTCTTGCAACAACTGGAGATAAACGTACACAAGTTTGGAAAGCAGAAGCGAGTAAGCATCAGCAGTTAGCTGCATCCAGTCAAAGAACACAGTGGGTGGCAAATGCCGCTGTCATTTTTCAGGGTAAAACATATGCAGAATAATTCAAACTAAATCCTGGAAGACAAGGGTGGAAGCCTCAAGGCAAGGACGTAGCCACGCACTACACCCACACAAGAGAAGCATTAAACACACCCCCAGCCTTTCCTAGCAAGGCCTCCCCCCTTTTGCGCCCTCAGGGCACCTTCCCTCCCCCAGCGCCTCAGAGGACATGCTGGGCCTGCTCCAGCGCCTCAGACCAGCAGCGCAGACCAGGCAGAACAAAGTCAATGCACATGCCTTATCTTCATAGCATCGTTTAATGTTTCAGAGAACTGTAGCAGCAGTTCAGCTTAGGCATTTCTTACCAAAAATCAAAGCCATTTGTATTTCTGAGAAACATTCTAGACAAAGGAACGCTTCCCGGAGGGAAAGGGCCTGTACTTTCCAAGCCCAAGTGTCAGATTTCTAGTAAATCTTAGAAGCAGCAGGCTGCCAAGGTTCTCCAGGACTCTGGCTTTGTGTGCAGATGAATAAGGTGATACATTTTGTAACTTTTTGAGCAGTTGGTTTTATTAGGTAAAGGTCACATAACGGTATCTTTGCCTACTTTGTACACAATTGTCTAGTCTCACGCACAGTGGCTTCCAAGTTCTTCCTAGTACTGGCAAGCACCAATAGATTCTGAAACAGAATATCGAGTGCCTTATTTAAGTTTAAATCAGGACCTTGGTGGATGGATCTTGCACCCAGTTATCAGGAATGTACAAATGTCTTTATTCAAAAAATACAAAATAAATTATCTGTAGGCATGGACAATGACTGTAAACAATTACACGTGTGTTAAATGAAATCCAGTAACTGATGGTTACAGTGATTCTTTTAAACACCAGCCTCACTTCAGTCACTATCCACCCTCTCGTGCTGACACCCCAGGTATTTAAAGTCAGAACTGCCGGTCCCAGACAGCACAGCTCGGGACGCATCCCTGTCCCGGGAATTAGAACATCCCGCCTCCCATTCCTCCACCCATCCCGCCCATCCCTCCCATGGCCGGCTCCTTTTCTTCTTTAGGAATTTCAGTCACCACCGCTTCTGCTGTTGATAAGAGAGACGCAACGCCCGCAGCGTCCATCAGAGCAGTCCTCACGACCTAAAAATAGGAAAGAAATAACTTGGTCCCTGCTGACTATCACGGGGGCTGGGAGGAAGGAAAGCTCAGAATTAGGACTGGTTTTTGTTACCTTCGTGGGGTCTATGATTCCTTTTTCTACCATATTCACAAAGTCCCCAAGCATTGCATCATAGCCAACTTCTGAGGGGCTCTGCAGGATTTTTTCAACTATTAGCGATCCTTCAACGCCTGCGTTCTTTGCAATAGTCATTGCTGGGATTTTCATTGTTCTCTTTATGATTTCAATGCCTGTAAGAAAAAGGGCGGTTGGAGTTACTTAATAGGTACGCTGCTGCTGCTGCTGCCAGGGCACGCCTGCGCATGCTGGAGCTCATTCAAAAAGAGAAAAGCCTCTGAGCAAGAACATCAGCTCTCTCTGTTGGTTCCAGGGGAAAAACGTTCCCTGCTACTTGACGTTTGTCAACAAGTGAAATCATTGCAGGATATTCACATGCTTTTTAGTTTTACTGCTGCGAAAGGTAGGAAGGACTCAAACCCTTTTTCCATGTGATCTGCCACACGATCTCTTCGTCATTCTCGGACTTTACATCTGCCTGCAGGGGCTGCAAGAGCCAGCTCTGCTCTCCCCTCTCTACAGGGGTGCTGCTGCTGCTTCTTACTGGTTCTTTCACATCCAAGTTAGGGAGGCGGTGACAGCTCCCTCCCACTGTAAAGCAGAGGCTGCCATACCCAGGGGATATGAGCGAGCTTCTAAAGGCCAGGGAATTAAAAGCTCACTGAAAGCAATCCATGTTTCATCCCACGAAGCCTCAGGACAGAAGAAAGTCCATTCCTAACACTTCTGCACGCATTCAAGTAATTTACTTACCAATCTTCTGATCTTCATTGGCTGGAGTTAAGGCATCCAACGCTGGAATGCAGCGAAGCAACGCACAGCCACCGCCTGGAACGATGCCCTCCTCTACAGCAGCACGGGTGGCGTTCAGGGCATCAGTAACCCTGTCCTTCTTCTCATTCACTTCAACGTCACTCGTGCCACCAACCTACGACAAGCCAGCCACACGTCAGGGTCCGCAGGAGGAGCGTGGGTGGGAGAGCGCTGCTGGCTATGGAACTGCTGCCGCAAAACTCAACAGCCAATTCCAGTCGTTAACTGAGAAGCGCCAGAAAGCAAACCCATCCTCTCCCACACTGGCAGCGTTCCCTCGTACCCCAGCACTCAAGTAGCCTAAGCACACCGGTTTAGTTGATTGTTCATCAAGTTCTTAATACCAAGGTGTGTAGCCCTGTAATAAGCCAAATCCCTTATCTAAATCAATGGCTGTGATTATGAGACAACCACACAGCAGTCGCTTAGATTAGCAATAAAGGACTGATACCACCCCTTTCCTAAAGGAGCTCAACTTCTCACCTTCAATACTGCTACTCCATCAGAGAGTTTGGCCAATCGCTCGTTCAGTTTCTCTTTTTCATAGTCACTTGTGGTAACTTCTAGCTGCTCAATAATTTCTTGAATACGTTTTTCAATTTGAGCTTTTTCACCCTTCCCCTTTAGAAGCATGGTGTCATCTTTTGTCACAATGACCTCTCCAACTTTACCAAAGTCATGAGGCTGAATATCTTCCACGTTTAGGCTCAGACCTTCTTCTCCAAACACCTGAAACAAATTACATGAGAAGTTGGAACTCACAGCTTCTCCGTACGTGATTTTTTTTTTTACAGACACACGAACACATACAGCAGGCTAACAGTGCCAAATACGCACACTGGAGCAGCTAAGCTGAAGGAAACTCTTCCCTTCTCCTGCCAGAGTCCAGGCACGCAGGTCCCTCACAAACTGGCCCCCACGGAATCGGGAGCTGCCAACTTCTCACTCCTGACTGACTAATGTACCTCACGGACGCAAAGTGCCCGGAGAGTAGAGCTGTGCTAGAGTCTCCTCCCTGGAATATTGAAAAGTTATTAATATTGGCACTAAACTGACTTCAGAATAAAGTTTTGTTACTTTGTGCTCCAGTTAAACACTAAGTTTTATTTCAAGAATCACCTCTGGATCCCAGTATCATGCTATGATTTTAAAGTGTGTTCAAAAAAAAAAGCAAGCAGCACAAAGGGACAGTAATCAGCACATCGGCTGTTTGAGAAGTTGAGTACAGAAGAAAATCACCCAGTCTATTCCAAACGTTTACAAGAATTATATTTGCCATACTCAAGTCTGGGCCACCATGCGACAGTTCTGTAAGGTGGCCAGAAAGCTTCGCTACTTCTACAAAGTTTCCTTGATATTCCTCCTTCCCCTTAACAACTTAAATGCCGCGAGGGAACTGCGCGCAGCTTCAGTCAGTTAAAAGGACGCGTTACCCGTGGTTGGTCAGGGCTGGAAGTACGCAGCACTGATCAATATCCACATTAAAAAAAAAAAACCCAAAAAACCATGAAGTTTCAAACATTAGATTTACAGTTATGTTTTTGAAAGAACAGGACACAGCCTGCAACACAGCAAATACAAGCCACAGACCTAAAAATATACGTTTTCTTTTCCTTCTTAAATACCATTAGAATTTCTGACAGCAAAAAGCCAGTTAAAACATCATTACTTACAGCACCACCGGTAGCAATCGCCATATCCTTAAGCTGGTTTTTCCTGTTGTCACCAAAACCCGGTGCTTTTACAGCAACCACCTGAAGACCAACCTTCAGTCTAAACAGAATTCAGAGGGCAACATTACACGTGTTCAGAGAACAAGTCTAATTACTAAACGCAATTATTTCAGTACAGTTCTAACAACCAAGCAAACAAAAAAACCTTCATGAACTGAGCTGGTTTTGCTCAAAAACATAGTAAGGAAACATCTGAAATCCCGCCCAAACTGATGCAGAGCATGGCTACATACGAAAGTTGCTCTTTCTTTGGTACTGATAACAGAACAGACAACAGTACCACACTGTAGCAAATTCAAATACATGCTTTTGTACGTATTCCTTTAAAAGGATGAAAATGCAAAGCAGAAAAAAAAAAAGCAGTATTTGCCTAAAAGTATAGATTTTAAGCCTCACCTGTTCAAGACTAGAGTGCTGAGGGCTTCTCCATCAACATCTTCAGCAATAATGACCAAAGGTTTGCGGTGGGAATTGGCAATTTCAAGAGCTGGAACTATGGACTGTACACTAGAAATTTTCTTTTCACTGATTAAAACGTAGGCATCCTGGAATTCACATTTCTGCCCTGCAGAAACAATGTGCATTATCTGAACAATCTGATTATAAGAACATATCAAGCGTTCTCTTAAACTTAAGGAGCCGCTTTGGAGCGACCATTGGCACTTTTCAACAGCATTAAAAGGAGACACACACACAAATTGTTTTCTCCAAGACTCCACTTTCAGTTCTACATTGTTCTGGAGCATTTCAGGGCCAGCCTGATGTTAACACAGACACTGTCCATACTTAACAGAGAAGAAAAAAAACCCCCAGAGACTACAATTTTTTTAACCAAGAGTTAGAAGTTTCTGATGGGAAAGACCCCGCTGTCCTGTTGCCATGGCACGTAGTATAACCGGTTGTGAAGCCTTTGTAACAGGTAGCATTATTTCTAACTTAAAAGAGCCACTGTGAGGTACCGGACATGTGTTACTGTTAACTCACCTTTGGTTGTATTAATAAAATATGGAGAGATGTAGCCTCTGTCAAATTTCATACCCTCAATGATTTCCAATTCATCGTTTAGCGTTTTTCCATCCTGTTTAGATGCAAGAAAGTCTGCATTAAAGATCCCTTATTTATTACCAAGAGCACAAGTATATTTTTTAGCATAACTCTGCACAACAGAATTAAAGGCTCTGCACCACATGTCACTTTTATGCGCTCCCCCTTGAAAGTAAAAGGATGAAGAGGGAACAGCAATCAAACCCTGACCTAAAGGTGCTGGGGAGGGAGGAATTATGCTGAGATGCCATATGTGAGCAGCAGCAGCAGCTACATCACACGCCACACAAGCCAGCCCTAACTGGAGAAGGGACAGTCACTCTTTACTTAGTCCATACGTTGGCTGGTTCTTACCTTGACAGTGATTACACCCTTTCGTCCAACTTTTTTCATTGCATCAGAAATTATATTGCCAATTTCCTGATCTCCATTTGCTGATATTGTGGCAACCTGAAACAGTAAGCCATGCAATCTCAATTCACAATACAAGCGATTTGTTTCCTCACCACAAAAAAAAAAATCAGAGTAACCATTTTCAATTCTCACATCTCCTGACCAGACAGGGCAGCTGACCATAGCACACCCACACCGGGATCCAAGGACTCCCTTAGAAGGGTAACAGCTCTTGGGCAGCTCAAATGCAGGGCCAGACCCCGTGCCTGGGGCTCCTGCAGCGCGCACAGGCCTTCTGAACCTGTGACCATGGGAAGAAACACGCTCCGAAGGCCAGCACACCAGGTGCCTGAGGCCCAGCTGGGCACCCGCCTCAACCAGACCCTCCCACAGCAGATCCGAAGCACTCCCAGAAGCCTGCCGTCACCTCCCGTCCACAAACACATCTTCGCTCTCATCAGTTATTCCCACATACACAACTTTGTTTTAGGACCACATTCTGGAATCAAACTTGAAGATGAAAAAAACCTACCAACTTCTGAACTAACTTCTAGCACTGTAGCTGAAGGTAGAATACCGGGAATTTAAAATAACTCAAGAAAATGAAAGAGTTACCATGAAGATCACTCGAATAAACATACTCTGAATCTTGATTAAAAAAATACTCAGGTGTCATATACCCACAAACTAGCTCCATTAAACCTGACTTCACAAAACTTCTTCTGAATAGCAGCTACATAAAGTTGGCTTTTGTTTTGTTTTTTTTTTTTACCTGTGCAATTTCTTCTGGAGTTGTAACAGGTTTAGACAGCTTCTTCAGTTCAGCTGTGACAGCATCAACTGCAAGCATCACCCCTAAAGATGAACAGAATACTTTGAGTGAACAAAACAACGTATACAGCACAGAATAAAACCAAAACAAAACACAAACAGGTTAAGTTTCAAACCAAATTCAAACACTGCAAAACCGCATCAACTTTGCACGTTCAAAAACAAGTGACTGGCAGTTCCAGTTCCATATCGTCACTTGTACACCTAGTGTTAGTTTTTTTTTGAATCAGTGCGACATACTTTCCCTCACGATCGAAATTCACAGCATATTTATTTACATGGCATCAGTAAGTTTATATATTTAGCAGAAATTAATTGAATGCAGAAATGGCTTTAAATGGAGTTTACCTATGGCAAATCAAACAAGTTAACTGCATATAAAATAGTAAAATGATTAGAAAAATGAGGACTTGTTCAAAGTAACCCAACAGCAACAAGTGGGTTCTCTATGCATCGTTCCTCTTATAAAGCTTTATGCAGCTCTTCAAAAAGAAGGGAACTTATTCAGGAAGCCAGTCAAATTTGGGATACAAAGAGTAAAAGGACTGCGATTAAACATTAAGAACAAGGGAAAAAAAAAAATTACCCCTCCTGATTTCTACTGGATTAGCTCCTTTGCTGATCTTCTCAAAGCCTTCCTTGGCAATAGCACGTGCAAGTACTGTTGCAGTAGTGGTACCATCTCCTGCTTCTTCATTTGTGTTGTTGGCAACGTCTTGAACTAACCTGGCTCCAATATTTTTGTATTTGTCTTTTAAGTCAATTGCTTTTGCTACTGTCACACCGTCTTTTGTTACTTTCGGACTTCCCCAGCTTTGTTCAATAATAACTGTTCTTCCCTAGGGAGACAAAGAACAAATATTAAATCAAAGCCACAAAACCCACAGCACGTTACTCTGAGTTCAACTGAATACGAAGATCCTCTTGAACAGCCACAGCTGAACAGAAACATCACCCTGCACACAGTTTTCAGCAGGGACTTTTTTCAAGCATACATATTACCGAGGTTTTGCAAAACAGGAACAATGGCTCAAAGGTTTTATACTTTCACAGAATGAGGCTTCATTTCCCAGCTGTAATGCTTAATACCACAGACTCCAAAGTCTGCAGCTAAAGTAAGACTGGCCTTATGGAGGAAAATAATTGAGGATATCCCCTCTAACACTGATGTTTTCCCCTGAAATTAAAGTATAGCAACATAATGAACTAAATTTGCAAAATTTCCATCAAATCACAATAAAAAGTCTACGTGATTGAAAAACAGTATCACAAAACTCAATCTGTTGCACGTTCTGGGGCGGGGGGGAAAAAAAAAGCAGAGACTTGCAAACCTTTTTAGTGATTAGCAAAGAGAACTGAGAGTACTTAACAAATCTGTGTTAATGTGTTGCAATAATTTCTCAAATGTTGCCAGTTAACAAGCCTTTCTTCTCTTAGCCCACACGTACATCCAACTGAAAAGCCAGACTACCCCGTGCAACATACACAGACACAGTTAATAGGGGAAACTATGGAGTGCAGAGGGAACACAGGACACCTGCACAAGAGGATTGCTTGTTCCCAGATGAATTCGATAGCTTTAATAGCTGCCTCAATCAATCATGTTCCAGTTTGAGCTGGAGGCAGCAGAAACACAAGGTGCCACCCCTGGGCCACTGCTGCTCCCACACTCTTTAGCTACCCTAACAGCTGGAGCTGTCAGAAGAGGGGAAGGGAGAGCAACTGCCCCACCTCGCCCCAGTCGCTCCCTGCTGGCCCTGCACAAGTCCCCTCCCGTGCCCTGTCAGGTGCAGCTCAGAGCTGACCACGCTGGCTACTGCCAGACACTGCCATAGCTGACTGCACGCCAGCGCGGCTTCAGCTCCAATCAGAGCCTGGGCTCACGTGCCAAGCAGCGAGCTCAGGGCTCCCATACAGCATGCTACCACTGTGGTGCACCGTGCTTTCCTCGCTTGCACAGAGCCCACTCACATCTGCCCCAATGATTTAGCTAACTTGGGATTCCTGCCATGCGCAAGGCTACGCTGCTTCTGAAGTACAACTGGTCCCAGAAGCTGCAAAAGAAATGTTCAGCTACCAATGCTGAACTTGTGAAAGAGTTTAGGTAATTCTAACTCTTTGCCGTAGAACAGTTATGCCAAAATAACGCATTATCTGATTTCTTAGTGCTATTTTATTTGACCTACACTTCTAAATCTAGAAGTGTAGAATAAGAAAACTCACTGGAGGATCCTGCTACTGCTAAGTTCTTCAGGTAGTCTCTCCCTGTTTTGCTTAATTCATTCTCTATTTTGACGTGGTCTTATTCCAAATGGTTCTGTGGTAGCTATAAGGAAGGCGGCACAATGAAATCTACTTATATCCTATCACATAAAAAGATTTACACTCAAACGCTTTTTATCTGCGTTTCTGAAAAAAGGAACACCACCGCTAAATGCACATGTATTCTGAATGGCCCTGCATATCAAGAATCCAAGCACTCACATAATAGTTCCAACAAAGTAATCAACGTGTGGGCAGCGATATCAGAAGATCACGTGAGACTGCAAACCACGTTTCTTTAGATGCAGAACAGCGCCAAAGGTAAGTTGCCTCACCAGAACGATACTTCTTAAAAATCCTGAAATCTGAATGAGGCATTACAGTACAAACCCCAAATCTCTACAAATATATGGAGAACAGCAGATAAAGTGAGAACACTGGAACAAAAAAACCCATGAGGTTGCACTAAGTTGCATCAGGAACTGCCCTTTAACCAGTGCATTAGAACTATGCTTAGGCATTCACAAAGTAGCCTGATCCAAAAAACCCAAGAGTTAAATTAACTGGCTACACTTAAACTTTGTCCCTTCAGGGAAAACAGCCACAGCTTGCTGACATCACTATTCCTTAACCTTCACCTGCTCAGTTTATGCCATTTTTGCCTTTGAATAAAGCTAATAGAGCACCAAAAACATGTGAGAAATACATGAATGAGAGAATTAGAGAGGCAAATCAGCCTTAAGAAGAACTGCTGTGCATCTTCTGTTATTAGGAACAGACATTCCTATGAACCAAAAGAAAATCAGTGTCTCTTCCTTAAAAAGGAACCTTATTTCAAGCCGTACTGCACGTTGCATGACTATGCAGAATACAGTAACTAGTTTTCCAAAAGAGCTAGAACTTACAGGGAACCAGGCTCTACATTCTGTCCTATAACCAGCACAAATGAACGTCGCTGCTACAGAATTTCACTTAAGCTGATAACATTTACCGGTCAACTGAAAACTTAACATTACACTTTCAATGTCTCTTTCACCTTGTTGATACTAAATGGTAAAGTGATAAAAAAAATCGTATTTTAAAAAATAAAATGTATCACATGCTAATTAACCCACCTTACGATCTAGATAATTTAACTTGTTGATACTAAATGGTAAAGTGATAAAAAAAAATTTTAAAAAATAAAATGTATCACATACTAATTAACCCACCTTACGATCTAGATAATTTATCTACTGCTCTATTACAGACTATCAGCTGAGCCGTGATAACCTATTAGGCACATCCCACTACCCTTCAGTCTGTTTAAATAAATATACTGCACTTTTTGCAGTGATCCAATTCATTTTACTTCGTTACTATGAAAAGCACATGCACTGTCGTCATGGTTCATGTGACAAAAATGAGAATACAGCTGCTTGCAGCAGTCAGTCCATACCCCTACATCTTTCTGTTACAGATCTGCAGATAGTAATCACGCAGCTCTAACCGAGGGAAAACTAACAACTGCTTTCTACTATGGTGTTTTCAACCAAGTCAAAGCCTTAACATGAAATAAACGCAAAATCTTCCATTACCTTTGGCCCCATGGTGACAGCTACAGCATCTGCTAGAAGATCTACTCCTTGAAGCATAAGGGCTCTAGCGTCTGCTCCAAACTTAACATCTTTTGCATATGCTCGCGTTAGGTGGGGGGCGAGTGCTCTGGACACAGGCCTTATCTGACGGAGTACTGTAGATAAACGGAGCATGTCTAAAAGATTAAAACAAATTCAGAGAAAAATATAAGCATTATGGTTTTGCACTGCTACTTCTAGAATAAAAGCGGGGGAAAAGGATTCAAGAAGTAAAGCAGGTGACCGTGAAATTTTCGTTTTTCAGCTGGTTGAAATGGAAACACGTCAGCAACTGCAAGTAACGGGGCTGGGGAGCCCAGATCTGCAAGGCAAGATCAGGGCTGCATCAGCTCCTCATCGAGCGGCCTCCAGCAACTCCCAGCTCCTCCCGCCGGGCCCTCCCTGGCAGCAGGACGGGAGACGGCG